AAATAATATGTAAGATAAATTCATTTTTATATATAATTTCTGGAGAATTATTTTATGGAGCTCAAGCTAAGGAAAGGTGATTGCGTAGCTTTTATATTTCGTAAAACATGACAACAGCATGGTAAAGAAAGCCGTAGAATCAATGGAGTGTACAAACACGTCATGTTGCGGAAAAAAAAAGTCTCCTACATTTCAATCTTTCTAGAAGTTTTCACAGAGCATCACGTAATAGAAGATGCGGAAAAAAAGAGAAAGAAGAAACGCTTTAGAGTGTGCCATATTCTGCTTAGGATGATGTATATGTCACGGTGACTCTATGTATACCTAATACTGGAGTTCAACGCAAAGGAGAGATCACACGTGAGAAATACGTGCAGATCTAGTTTCTACGGCATACTAAGTAATATGGGAGAGTCCCCCACTATGGTGTCCGAATCCTCTGGAAGAATCATTTTTTATTATTTCTCACTACTTCATTACGTACATGAATCTATTTCTGTCGACATTCTGAAGGACGAAAAAAGAAATGATGAGTCTTATTATAGAATTCCCCGCCGCAGGGGCTGAAGTCACATTATTTGGTTTATGCTGTAAATAGTCCCATGTAACCTGTATTGTATTTGAATGTCCAGCTGACAGTTTATATTCTTTTGATGCCAGAAGCAATTAGTTTCATGGTGCCTGGTCTTTATTACACCAATTATGGTATTGTATAACGTGTAAGGTGTAGCATGGTAGGGAACGTATATTTAAGGAGAATTGAATTATAGCATAGTGAATCTGGATACAATATGTATCCGCCACAATTTTGTGCAGCCTAAGGGATTCCAATTAGGTGCGGATAGAGTAGGAGAAATTATGGTTGAAGATGGTTGCATTTGATAATATAAAGGAGGTGAACATTTTTCCTTGCGATCCCCTTTATGTATGCGCGCTGATTCGTACAGATACTAATGGAACTCTTTTTTGTTTTGTTTTTTCCCTGTCGCCTCTCCTTTACAATGAGATGACTTGGCAACGTAATGTTCATAAAGGAACTGCCCGGGCGAAAATGAACAGGTCTAAATGTGTTTATACAAAGAAGCTCTCAATAGACATATATGAATTTTGAACATTGGGTAGACAATAACGAGGACACCGTTGCAAATTCCTTAAAAAGAACCTGCAGGTCGCTGTTAATATCACATAATTCTATCACGAGGCAAGGAACACAGGAAGAATGGGTGTTAAACAGTTGAATAATACGATTGCGTTAGCGTTACCACAAGAATTGCATGGCTAGATTGGAAAAGAATACATAAATCCGCTCTTCGTACGTTAAATATTATTGTCATTACATAGCACTTCGCGAAAAATACTCTGTGCCTCATGGAGTAGTGAACGAAATTGATTGCTCCATATGAACAGAATGAATTTTGAAATGAGAAGGAATGGCAATGTGCACATATTCATTTATTTTAATAGAGGGGGGTTATTCGAAAGTAAAAATCGCGAATATTCGTGGAGGCATTCATATGACATGTGTTTCTTCATGTTGTACATAAGTAATGGGTATTAATAATAATTGCTGTGTGGGGATCACGTTATTAATAAATGGTTCCTGCGTTATAAACACGCTTTGGGTAGTGTCCTGTAAGAATGAAAGGATTTTTAATTATTTATAGGAATCTGAAAGAGGCGAGTTCTATTATCACATGCATTGTTTATACGTGTATATAATTTGAAAACAGTGACACATATTTATATATACAGAAAAGATGAACACTTGATATAATCCATTAAGGATAAAACTCCACTAAACATAATAGAAAGAGTAAATAAGGGGAAATAGGAACACAGCGGTTCCATGCGAACTGTAGCATTAGTTTAAAATTACATATTTGAAATATATCTTCTCCTGGTATTCATGATGAACAGGGTTTCTCTTTGTTGCTGTCTATCTATGGTGACAATCTATGCATGGAACAAGGAGAAGACACATAAAGATAAATGCAGGAGCTAGGGCGGATCATATACAAAGAACAATTTTGTGGCATATGTCTCTTGCAGAGGCGTTTTGCTCGGAACGTGTGTGTGTTTTATTGTACAAAAAAGGAGCATCTTTTTATAAGTGAGATTTTATATTTATTGAGAAGCATTGATTTCTTCGCGATCACCCTCCTGTGTAGCACAACCCTTATGAGAAACCTTAAAAATTAGTAAAAGTGCAGGCCCATATTTATATGACTGCACACTCTAGTAATTTTTCCTTGACTCTTACAATGATACATATACCTATATATAGGTATGTATATATATATATATATGACTGTGGCAATATTATGTTGATAAGTGGGCTAACGCTAATATATTGCTTCTAAGCAGTTATGATACGAGACGCGCCATACGTGAATGTACCGGAATGGATATTGCACGTTCTAATAAACAACATATTAGAATATAATACTGATTTCAGACAAATGGTGAATTTTACAGGAGAGTTCTCTTCAAGGGTGTGTGAGTATTTTTTGTGGTTTCTTTCTTTTTTTCCTTCTTCTTCCGATACATTTTGCAATACCCGACATGTTCTTCATTGATGTGTACTGATTGCCGCGTGAGACTAAATTGGTCGACTAAAAGGCAAAGTAGGAGGCAATGGTTTCTCAAGATACCAAATTGGCTGCAAATAGACAGAGACTGTGGAACATATTTCTGCTAAGTATTTAATTAAAAATTAACAGAAGGGATTTGGAGTTATCTATTTTGATAACACAGCGCTCATGGATGTGAACCTGATATTCTTTTAGGAGATATACCCTTCTGGATATTGAGTTCAAAAATCAGGTGAGAAGCTGAAGATGGTGTTAATGAAGCTGTTAATTTTTCCACTACAGCAGTTTAATATTAATTAGGGAAGAAATCGATTTTGGATAGGCAGAATGACTAAATGAGAAGAAGTGTCTGGGTGAATAATAAGAGTTAAGGATTCTTCACGGTACAATAAAATGTGGACAAAACAAGATATTTCAATAATTATATTTAAGAGTTCCTCTTGTCCGGTTACGCGAGCCGTCTACTATTAGGAATGTGCTAACGCGGTTTGATTAAATTGGTCGAGAGGATAACTTATTATGGGCAAAATTTAACAAGGAAAGAAACGGAAAAATACCAGTATTACATCCGTATGTAAAGCAACGAAGCATATAGCGAAATGAAAATATGGCAATCCCAACCAAATTATAATGGATTTGCAATGAGGAAAATAATGATCCACCAATTGATTGTGATTACCCCCAAATATATAAAATACAAGAGGGAACAAAAATAGTGAAGGAATTGTGGGGGTTGTTATAATATATTACAGCAAATATATCATAGAGATTAAGAGAGAACTGCAGTATTGAATCATAAGAAGAAACTAGGAATAACAGATATGTGTGAGTGTAACCAAGTTCTCCATTCTTCATATCATGAATTGTAGTAAACTAAGAAAGGGACATACGACATTCCTCCTTTAGGGGTGTTAAGGGAATCTACATTATGGGTATGAACTAGGGATTCATCAATTTCGAGAGGCCTAAGGAGGATATTAGCCGCAGGAATACAAAGAATTTACATGCCTCTATACATTGGTATCATTTATTGATAACAGCCTATGTGGCGTTGATCTCTTCACATCTTACCATGGAACATATATATACCCATTGATATATATATAAGTATATTTTTTCCCTTTTATATGTGGGACTAGATCATGAGTCATAGAAATAAGAGGTGTTAACGAGGTGGAATATGATGCCCATATGGCGTCATACAGGAAGGGAATACGAAGAGATGGAACCAAAGAAGCACAGAATAGTACCAGTGCTAGACATTTCTACGCGAAAAGAGGATATAGTTACCAGTATATGTAGATTCAAATTAGAAGATTGTTCATTTCGCATAAAGATGTTCCCCCTAAAATTGCACCATTGCTCATGACGGGTTTTATCTATGCATATATAAGGGGAGTAATGGATTGTTGAATTTAAACTGGTATAATATGAGTTATAATTTCATATTGGACTTTAATTGTATATTGCATACGATTGAAAGGGCTGCTATAGCGTTTAAATAAGTTTATGCCTTTCTGTTGAAACTCCTATGAGTGCAATGGGATACAGATATGCACATCGGATGAGTACCGCGTAAAATGGGGAGCCGCTGTGCTTATATGGTTTCCTTTATAGTTACATTACTTTTGTGAATGCGTCCTTATAGCCCATTCTCTTCGTGAGTGGGGTCTCTGATGTTTTGATATTTTCACCAGTATCCCCCTGCACGTTGCACTCTTCCTGTGTATGTTTTTTTCCCGTTTCTACATTTCTATAAGTATGTTAATTCATATAGTGGCATCCTTGCATATCAGTTCCCATGCCGCATAGTGCCTGCTGATGCGCTTTCGTGTTTATCATTCCCATTAGTGTTTTTTTTCATGTTCTGTGCAACTCTATGAGAGTATTTTCTCATGGCGCCTCTTTTGTATATATGTATCTTCATCTGGCCTAATTTCGCGAAGTTGGTCTCACGTTCCCTAATTTAGCAAACGTGGTTTTACGTGCGATAATTTCGCGAACGTCTTCTCATGTGGCCTAATTTTCCCATGGTGGTTTTATGAGGCATAATTTCGCAAACGTCGTTCTACGTGAACTAATTTGGCAATGATTGTTCCACGTGGGGTTATTCCGCGAAGTTGATTTCACGTGGGGTCATTTCGCGAAGGTGGTTTCATGTGGCCTAATTTCTTCGCAGCCCATCCATGTGGTTTAATTTCTCGCGAACGCACTTCCATGTAACCTAATTTTCCTCGTACGCCCTTCCATTTGCCGTAATTATTTCTGGGAATTGGCTCCATGTGTTTTAATCTTGCCAAAGTCTTTCCTTGGGGAAGAATTTTTGGGGGGGTGGTTCCATGTGTTATATCCGCTGGACGCGCGCTGTTTCTTCTTGATCCACTATATATATTTCTCTATCTAATTCTTTCATGAAAATATAGCTGTTTGCTGCCTTCCTCTGACGAAAAATTTTTGGAAGGTTTGTTTATGATGAGATTCTTCGCAGCATCCTTCTGAAGATTCTACTTCACCTGGCACTTTTATGTAGATGCCTTTATTTGCTAGATTTCTATCACTATTTCCTCCGTGTAGTTTTTTCATCATGATGCTTCTTCTTCCTGCATTGCTATGATGCTCTCCCTCAGGGTCAGTGCGCTGTTCTCTTGTCACGTCACTGCGATTCTGTTCCTTCTTGTCGCTTCCCTTCATGGATGCCTATATCTGGGATGTCACTATAATAATGCTCCTTCGTGTCACATTTCTGCATAGCTAGATCATTCCTGTAGCGTCAATATGAAGATGCTTGTGTGTGTGGGATTCTTTTCAGGATGATATTTCCTGTTCGATTTTTACGAAGTCTTGTTTTCTTAGGCTGTGTCATTGTGAGGTATCTTCTGCTTCGCGCATCTTTTTCTCCTAAGATTCATCTTAGTGCGCTGTACTCTTAATATATCCTTCCGCTCGCCACTTTTATAGAGATTGTTTCCTTTGCCGTGTCACTATTAAGATTCTTTTTTTTGCCGCATTTTGTTTCTGACGATAGTCCTGTCCTGGGGTGTTGTGATGAAGTTTCCCGGGCCCTGTGATTATGAGAATTGTTACTGGTGTAGCATTCTTACGAAAATTCCTTTTATTGCATTATATGGATGATATTCTCCTATTCGACTCTTTTATAAAAATGCCTTTTCTTTTTATCATGTTATTGCGATGGAATCTCCTCGCGAGGCATTCTTCTTATGAAGATATTTCCGCTCCGCGGCATTCCTTATGATCCCATTTTCTGGTAGCAGCTTGAATATATTGTTTTGTGTCATTTCCTCTATATGGATTCTTCTTCCTCCCGCGGCATCGTGAAGATGTCTCTTTTTGTGTCATGTTTCCTACGACGATGTACCCTTTTTGCGGCATTCTGAAGATTTCCTCCCGTGTGTGATTTCCTTTATGAATATGCTCGTTTTCAGCGGCATGGTTACGATGCTGCTGCGTTCTTTATTTTCTTTATGAAGATTCTTTTTTCTCCTGGTATCTCCCCGACGTTTTCTTCCTTTGTCGTTTCGAAGATGTTCTTTTGCCTCGATTATTGTGAAAATCTTCCTCGAGCTCATATCACTGTGAAGGTGCCATTCTGGCTGCATCTTTGTGGATAGGTTGTATTGTATGTCATTCTCTTTTATTAGAATTTCTCCTTTCCCTAACAATCTGATTGATCTATTTTTTCTCCTTTCTAGGTGGAGCCATTATGAAGATATTACCTTCATTTCTTCGGCTATTAATGAGAATGGCCACGTAGGTGAATTGTAAATATGAGGACCATACAGATGTGCTAGCTTAATCAGACATGAATAATATACGTATGTGTGGAGGGCCGCTTTTATCCCTTATTTCTTATTCCTTTAGAAGTGATGATCTTCATGGAACATTATTAAGTAAATAGCAGTGTTACTCGGATAAGACTGTTAATTGAAGTGCAAAATTGTGTCAAGGGTAAGGATCTTCTGGAGTTTTATTGTAGGGAGGTTACTCACGTGTGCGTGGTACTCAGATGTACAAAGTACTGACATGCTTATGGTTTTGTTACATGAAGAACACGAGCCCGCTTCGGCTACTGTCGTTTGCAGAATAGTCATGAGGATCTTTAACGGTGTTTCAGCGCCAGGATGTAAGTATAATATTGTTATTGGAAGGGTATTGATGTCCATATAGTATTTTATGCGAAGGATTCAGAGTTCACGCCTCCATTATATGAGGGACATTATTCTATGAAGTGCATGCATATTCCAGTGAAATATATTGCCCTAAGATGATTGATCTGTCCAATGTTTCGATAGTCAGGAGTGCAGATGTCCCCAGTGTACTGTTATATGAAAGTACTAATGGTTGAGCTATATGGCTGAGTCGGTGTGTTATTATACTAAAAGTACCATTACGTGCGAAGGGCTGTGGCGGGATGAATACGATTATCCTGGGGGCATTATTATTCGAACAGTACGAGTGCGCAAGGAGTACTGCTATATTAAGAGTACTTTTTTGAGAATAATACATTTATTTGAAGAGCACTACTGTTATGTATGGAGTGGTGTACCATGATGAGTACAAATATCCCGGAATAGCAATATGTGAAGTGTCTCGATATTACGTTAACGGCTCCATTATATGAAGTACAGGATTGTGCAAATCCTGTGGATTACGTAGAATACTATTCTTTGAAGAATATTGCTACACCAAGAGTACTATGATGTGGACCATACTTCCCTGTGTGAAATATTGATATTCCACGAGTGTCATGATTTGGAAAGCACTACTCCGTCGAGTGTATGGATATTCCAGGAAAACTATTGCCTGAAAAATACTGATGTGTATTCATTTCAAATAGTGAAGATTGTGGAAATTCCCGTAGTACTGTTATATGAATGTACTAATGGATGAACTACAGTCATATTTTTAAAGTACTGTTGTCTGTAGAGCACAGTCGCATAAGAATAATGGCTCATCTGGAGTCATTCTGTGAGCCATCTCATGGGTGCGTAGTTTTCCTATTCGCAAAAAACAGTTGTGCAATGATAATGCATGTCTCCCAAGAACGATTATTTGAAGGGTTTCCATATACACAAAGTGCTTTTATATAGGGGGTACTATTCTATTAACCGTAAGAATATATCCGCAGTGGTATGTAGTGGGATAAAAGTAGGTGCCCCGAATATTACTATGGGGTGGATAGACCACTGAGCGCTTCGTTATTTGAATAGAACCATTGTTCATACAGCACTGATGTTTTTTCATTTGCGGTACCTTATTTTTGAAGGGGTTAGAATCCCGGCTGTAATATGAGGAGATAACAGTTTTACAAATTCCTGTGATGTATCTGCAATAGCATTCTTTGAGAAAAGGCGTTATCCTAAAAGTAGTATTATATGCAAAGTAGTGTCCTCCCTGGAATATCATTGGTTTTGATAATATTAATGTTACCAGAATAGCTTTGACAGGAGGATACCAATATCCATAACATACGAACCAGTTATCATATTAGGAAGGGGAGAAGAAAAAAATGAAGTAGAACAAATGCCCAAAATGAATTTTATATATTGAAGGTACTGCGACATTGGGCACAATTCTCCATTTCGAAAAAGAAATAAATATATAAGATAAAACCATATAAATGACTTAACAGTATCAACACACATAAACATGAAGCTGAAAGGAAGCATGCAAGGGAGAAGTAGCACCATATAATCGAAAAGGACAAAGGTAACTTAGCAAATAAGAGTACCTAAAGCAATGTTAACACAGAACAAATGAACCCGCAGGAAAGCAAGGTTAACAGGACAGAGAACACTTACAGTAACATATGAGGT